AAAAAAAAAAAAAAAAAGGGTTTTACTGAAGATGAAGAGCTTTCGGATCCTCATAATAAAACCAGTCTGTTTACCTGCGGCGTGGACATCACAGCGTTTTGTGTGTGTAATCACTGGATCCACGGTAACGAATGCCAGGTGTGTTTGTGTGTGTTACAGCGATGAGGTGCCCAACGATCTGTCCGGTCGGCTCTACCACCTGGAAGTGATGCTGAAGCAGCTGAACAATGACCTGGAGAAAGTGAGAGCCTTTTGTTTATCTCTCTAAAGCAGGAACCCTCTCAGGTTAAAGTACCAAATAATCGATAATAAGTGACTGTGGAGTCATGTCTTCTTAAAGACTTTATTTACATGTGTTGTTGATGTTGATTTATGTTTAAAAGCTGCATCACCTTCATTATGAGGCTCACATGTATTTGTGGCTCCATGCAGATGTTATTTGGTCTTTGATAACTGAACATTGCCTTTATTTCTCCTCCTCTCTATTACAGGAGAAGCAAGATAAGGTCGTCTTACTCGCTGAGATGGCCAACCTGAGAGAGAACAACCAGCGGCTGCAGGTGGAGAGCCAGACCGCCAGCGAGCAGCTGCGCAAGTTCAGCGTGCTTCTGACCAATCTCAACAAGCCGGGCAGCGACCACGAGGCTCACTCCTTAGCCGATTCACAGAGGGAGTGACCGACAGCCAAGGAAGAGAGTGAGGTTCAGGCCAGAGGGAGGGGCTTTCAGTTCCCATGATTCCTTGCACTCACAGGGGCGGCAGATGTCACACTCAGCTTCCACTGGGCTGCCTTAAACCAGAGAGAAAAAGAAGATCTGGATTTTTTTAAACCCTTCCAGTAGAGAACCTCACTTTCTACACGCTCCCTGCTCTGAGCCTGTTTATTTTTCTAACTGATGTCTGGATATTTGTCACATGGTGTAAATACATCTGCTACTATGCCGGAGGAGCGAGCAGGAGTGGAGATCCTGACTGTTTTAGAGAACACTACATCACCTGGAGAGGCCTAATACTGTTCCTGCAGCCAATCAGCCAAAATAAATAAATAAATAAGACTGCATCTCCCAGAATGCACTAGAAGAGAGGAAGCTCTACAGACGTGGTACTGTAGATAGATGCCTGTGTGGTACAATTCTCATATATCAATATTATCGACAATGTACTGATATTGTATAAGAGACGTACTAAAGGTGTGTGTGTGTGTGTTTGTGTGTGTGTGAGACTGATGGTACAAAAGTGAGAAGCATTGCAGCACAGCATTGTTTGTGCTGGGGATGTATTTTATTCCTCGTGTGTGTGTGGACAGCGGAGTGATGAACAAACCTGTTTACTGTAATCTGAACCCTGTGGGCCTCGTTTTCCTGCCCTCCGTTTACACGGGTGACCCGCGGCGGCCCACGGATGTGAATCAAGCCATCAGTGTGCCGAGAACAAACGGTCGCAGAGCTCGCCAGCGCGGCGGCGTCATATCTCCCACACAGAGCAGCGTCCTCAGCAGTGCCCGATCATCTCAGACCTGAATGAACTGATGGTTGCTTTAACCTTAAGCGGGTCCTTTGTTTGGTTTTAGTTGCAGAATTTTGAGAGTTACACTTACCTGCTTTCTGGTGAAGAGCTTATTCTGAAGTAATGTGGTTGGCGTAGCCCCACATGAGCCCAGTTTTGACCATATTATTGTTTACGTTTTGGGGAATAAAATATGGCGAATAAACTTTCTTTTTTACCTTTTTTTATTGGACGTACCAACTGCTGTAGCTGGATTACTGTAAAATTGGAAAAATGTTTAAAAATCAGCCAACTTCTCGCTCCTGGCAGCTCTCAGAAGAGCTGGTAGTTATGAGGTGATTCGATGGCTCACACACATCATGTTATTTTTGCTTTTGTGAAATCAAATTGCTTCCATCACGTCGCTGTAACCTCTAACCGACGTCCTTTAACAAACCTTGTGTTGTTTATAATTTCGTGTGTCAGGCAGCAGAGCGACTCGGTTGTTGTTTTTGTGTTTTAAGACGTCACAAACTGAACTGGAGTGCATAAAGCATGTGCAACAGCCTCACCAAGAAAGTAAATAAGTGTATTTTCTCAAAGTGTTCTCAAGTCTTCATGTATTTGTGATCCAGTGAAGCTCCGTCTCTGGCTGAGCGCGCTCACAGGAAACATGTACTGTACCTGAAAGTCTGTCACATCAGGACAGATGTGCTTGTTTAAGAGGACTTTTCTTGTTTTATACTGCGACAGTGCTCTCAATGATACTGTGTACTGTATTTTTCATACAGAAACATATTTTGGAATGCTGGCAGTGAATAGACAGCACACCCCAACCCTCTCGCCCCTCCGCCCCTCTAAAACTGTACTGCACTCTCATCTCTCTGATAAAACAGGAGGTTACTCTTTAACTGGATCTGTTTAAAGTTTCCACTCAGGTTCCTCAGGATGCTGTTAACGACACTCGACCGTTGGGGGGAGGGGGGGTTGATGATGACAGACGTAACCCTGCTGTCTGCACCGTTGTCCCTTTAAATGTTTTTGGGCAGCAGGATGTTTCAAATTGCTGGAAGAGCCAAAAAAAACCCTTTTTTTGTCACTGACCCCGGAGGATAACTAACGCCTTCTTCACCCCACCCCCCACCCCTCTCTCTCTGCAGCACCCGCTTTAAACCCACCGCCTCCTTCTCTGGGTTGTTGTCATCCCAGTTTTTCCTTTGTCATTTTTTGTCTTTAAGCAGCTTCAGTCGGGTTCCTGTTCCTGTCCTCCATCCACACAGCTCTGCAGGTGTAGCTGTGATTTTAGTGTCTTCAAGTCTTAATCTTTAGTTTGCTGATGTAAAAGGGGCAAGGTTGTTTTTTGTTTGTTTGTTTTTTACATATATATAAATCTTGTTATGTATAATTTTAAGCTATTTAAAGCATACACAAGGACCCCTATTGAACAAATCCAATAATGCATTATTACTGGTAATATTGTGCGACTAGTTATTTCCTTTTTGTTGTTGTTAATATTTTTATAATTTATTTTTGACATGTTGGCCACTGTTGCAGACAATAGTGAAGATGAGAGGGTACTGTGTTTTCTCCAATTCCTCCTTCCTTTCCTTTCTCCTCAAGCCTCATTGTTCCTCTTTCCATCGATGTTTCCTGCATTCAGCAGGAATAACTGAAGCAAGGGTTTGGTTTTCTTTGGGTTGTAATAACGTGTACATTTTAAAAGTGTAAATTATGTTTTCATTGTTTTATAAAAAAAAAATATATTAAAAATAAGTCAAAACATTTGCTGGTTTCTGGTCTTTGAGTTTTTGACTTGCGGTTCAAAAATAACCTTTTAGTTTCAGATTTTAGAAAACGACTGCAGGGTTGTGAGGAGGAGTTATGAGAAGTTAGTAAATTAATTCTGTGTATGTAAAGAAAATGTTTTTCACTTAAACTTGAAGCAGATTTTTGCTGCATTAACAGTACATTTGAAAAAAAAATAATTTGCTGTCTTTATTCAAAACTAAGTTTTGTTAGAAAAGTCTCAAATGTATTTTACAGGAAGTTTATTTTATAACTCTGAACTGTAGTGGAAGAAGCTTTAAGTCAAGGAAGAAGATCCAGGGCTTCAGCAGGCCGGAAACGTTTACGAGCTACACATCAGGCACTCGTCCTTGTTCTCCAGAGAGCACACCATGGCCGCCGTGTTGCGCTCTTTGATCTCCTGCTCCGAGGACGTGGCCGGCTGTGCCTCCTTCAGCTTCTCCTTGTTCAGGGTGAACTGGATGGGGTTGGCGGCAGGCTTGGTCCTCAGGTAGTACATCCCAGTCTTCAGACCCTGCGGTGGGAGGAAGACGGAGTTATTTTAAACCCCAACATGTCTTCACAGTGAGGTTTCACTCCTCCTCGTGCAGCTCGACACTCACCTGCTTCCAGCCGTAGAAGTGCATGCTGGTCAGCTTGCCGTAGTTCGGCTCTGCTATGTGGATGTTCAGGGACTGGCTCTGGTCGATGTAGGCCCCACGGTCGGCGGCCATCTTGACTACAGTTTTCTGTGAGATCTCCCATACGGTTTTGTAGAGCTGCTTCAGATCATCTGGGATCTCACTGATGTTCTGTCAAAATTTACAAAAAATATAAATAATTAAAACTAAAGTTTCAGGTCCAAACACAAAGGAGTAAAAACAAGAAAAAAAAAAAACACCTGAGCTTAAAACATCTTAAACTTCTCAGCTGATGGTATTTGGGACACATAGACCAGAACTTTGGGCCAATGTGATGCTTAAAACTATTTTCCATTCAATTTTATTTAAGTAGCACCAAATCACAACAACACTCATGTCACGGCAACAAATGAGAGAAAACACCAACAGATGACCTAGCAAGCACTGCGTGACAGTGGGGAGGAAAAACTCCCCTTTAACAGGAAGAACCGAGCTTTAAACAATTTGCTGTGGAAACGAAATAGTTAAAATAATTGGACCATTTCAGAATGTTAGACTGAGATGACGGATTTCCTTCTTCGTGTTTTCACAGATTGCTTTGGATCCTCTAAATATTTGACTGTTTATTGATTTACTTTGTGGCACCTAATCGAAATTCGTTTTTTAATTGATGAACTAGAAGACTAATTATTCAAGATCAAAGAGGATGAAAAACAGCCAAGAGATGCAGTATTGCCTAATTTCATTATGCTTTTTTTCAAGAGTCTTGAAGCTTTAAATGTATATATTTAAAAGCAGTTACGTGGCATTTTATCATTTCCTGTAAAGGAAATGTTTGGGAATCAGTATTTTAGTCTACAGAATGAAGTTCACACCTAAGAAGCTGGAACCTAGAGATGTCTGTCATCTTTAATGGTTTTCCTTCCTGCTGATGATTACCTGGATGGAGCCATTGTTAGCGATCAGCTGGTTCTTCATCTCCTCATTCCACATGCCCCTCTCTGTCAGGTCTTTGAGCAGGTGGGGGTTGACGATCTGAAACTCCCCCGAGAGCACCCGGCGGGTGTAGATGTTGCTTGTGTAGGCCTCGATGGACTCGTTGTTGCCCAGGATCTGGGCGGTGGAGGCCGTGGGCATCGGGGACAGCAGCAGGCTGTTCCTCACGCCATGTTTGGCGATCTTCTCCTTCAGCAGCTTCCAGTCCCACAGGTCCGTTGGCGTCTTCTCCCACATGTCGTACTGGAGAATGCCCTTACTCACCGGCGAGCCTTCGTACGTCTCATAGGTGCCGAGCTCGGCGGCCAGCTCGCAGCTCGCTTCCAAAGCGGCATAATACATTGTCTCAAAGATCTGGATGTTGAGCAGTTGAGCCTCGGGGCTTTCAAAGGGATAACGCATAAGGATGAAGGCATCAGCCAATCCCTGGACCCCGATTCCTATCGGCCTGTGGCGCATGTTCGACCTCCTGGCTTCTTCCACCGGGTAGTAGTTGATGTCGATAACCTTGTTCAAGTTCCTGACAATTACTTTGGTCACGGATGCCAATTTTTTAAAGTCATAAGTCCGCTCAGGGGTGACGTACATGTTGAGAGCGACAGAGGCCAGATTGCAAACCGCCACCTCGTCCTTGCTAGTGTACTCGACGATTTCCGTGCAAAGGTTGCTGCACTTGATGGTGCCCAGATTCTGCTGGTTGCTCTTCCTGTTGCAGGCATCTTTGTAGACCATGTACGGCGTCCCGGTTTCTGTCTGCGACTCGATGATTGCATACCATAGCTGCTGAGCCTTCACCACACGCTTCACCCTCCCCTCCCTCTCATATCTGGTGTAGAGTTCTTCAAACTCCTCCCCCCAGCACTCATCCAGCCCGGGGCAGTCGGCCGGACACATCAGGGACCAGTCTGTGTTGTTCTCCACCCGCTTCATGAAGAGGTCAGGGATCCACAGGGCGTAGAACAAGTCCCTGGCTCGCTGCTCCTCCTTTCCCGTGTTCTTCTTCAGCTCCAGAAAGTCGAACACATCGAAGTGCCAGGGCTCCAGGTACATGGCGAAGGCGCCGGGTCTTTTGTTGCCCCCCTGATCAACATAACGCGCTGTGTTGTTGTAAACCCTCAACATTGGGACGAGCCCGTTGGAACAGCCGTTGGTG